CCTTAAAACTACAATTGAAAACGGAAATACTAGTTGCTATGATCTGAATGTTTGTGTCCCTCCCCCAAATTCATATGTGGAAACCCTAACCCCCAAGGTGATGGTATCAGGAGGTGGGGCCTTTGGGAGGTGCTGAGGTCATGAGGATGGAGCCTTCATGACCTATAAGGGTGGGTTCCTTATAACAGAGGCCCAAGAAAGCGCCGTAGCCCCTTCTACCATGTGAGGACGCAGCGAGAAGGCACCACCTGTGAACCAGGAAGTGGGCTCTCACCAGACACCAAATCTGCTGGCATCTTGATCTTGGACTTCTAGCCTCCAGAACTACAAGAAATAAATATCTGTTGTTTATAAGCCACCCAGTTTTTGATATTTTGTTATAGCAGCCTGAATGGACTAAGACACTAGTTTTTAACTGTTCACTTTCCTGCCAACCAGTTAAACTCCAGGAGGGTTCTAGAATAGTTTAAAAATTGTGTTCAAATCTCCTTCTTTGATGGGAGGTTAGTGATGCTCAACCTGGGAGGATTTTTCCCCCAGGGGACATTAGGCAGTGTCTGGAGATGGTTTGGATTAGCACAACTTGGGGAGAGGGAGTATTCCAGCATCTGATGGATAAAGACCAGGGATGCCACTCAGCGTCTTACAGGGTGCAGGCCAGCCTGTTACCGCAAATGTCAGTAGTCAGAGACCCTGTTCTGAGCACATCATGTACAATTCATTTGATACAACCGTCCTGTGAGCAGCGCATTGTTATCCTTCCTTCATTTTTACAAGAACCTTAGATAAAACACCAGGATTTGAGCCGGGTCTGTCTCAAGAAAGAGCTCCTTCTTGTTGTTCTTTTCCCCAGGGGAGAGATGGAGATACAGGAGGGCCAGGGAGATGGAGAGAGGCAGACACACCCACCTTCCAACCCCAGGAGAAGACTGGCGAGGGCTGACTCAGCTTGAGAGCATATTCTCAAGTTTGTCTTCAAGACCCCTCTCCTCCTGCATCCGGGGACTCACAGCGCCAGGTTTAGTGGTTTGTTTTCCTTCTCTTTGCTCCTGAGTGAATGGCAGTAGCTGTGAAAGAGACAATGGCTTACTCATAATATTCAGGTACTTTGGATTCTTGTCTTAATTGCCTTCCTAATTTGCACTTTGCGTGGAACACCTGGGGTTGTGTGCTCCAGTGGCGTTTTTCCTCTGCTCCTTTTCCACTCAGCAGGGTCTTTCTACCATCTGTTGATCTTCAGTGTCTGCCTTAATTCTCTTATGTTCTTTCCGTGTGTGTAATTTGTCTTGGTTTCTTGTTAGTTTAGCTCTCAGGTGTTATCCCACCCTCAGACACGCTAACAATTGCATTCTCTTCCCCCATTACCTCTGCTTCCTCTTCCCTTTCTAAATCGTGGAGAAAGGGCAGGGCAGCGTGGGGCAGGGGGTTGTGGTTCCCTCCCCCAGGGTCATAGGAGAGCAGGGAGGAAGGAACCATCCCAGAATGTTCCCCCTGCTGTTGGCATGACCAAGGTACAGGGTGGTGGAGAGAAAATATATTCCCTTTGTGGAGCTCTTCGGGATACAGAGGTTGAGATGCCGGCTCTCACTGCCCACACCTGGGAGAAAGCCACAAGCCCAGGTCAGCAAACTGAGGTTGGGGGGTGGGGAGGGGCTGTGTAGAGGACTGAGGGTCAAAGCCTAGTTCTGCCCGTGGGCACTGAGTCGCTTGGGACAGGCCCTTTCTCTCCTGTGTTAACTGGGTACCCCCCTTGCCCACCCCCAGAGCTGCTGGGAGCAATTATGTAAGTGAGGGTGCCGGGGCTGCATGCTAAATGACTAGAAAGAGTTAGTTTGTTAATTTTTCTAGGTCCTATTGCTCTGGGCGGCAGTATCGTTTATATTAAAATGACTAATTAGAGTAAAATCTTTAACAAAAGAGCTGACCAGCTGTTGTTTATGGTTTAGAAAAGCAAATTTTTTCAAAGGGGAAGGGTTTGCCCCTCTGGTGTCAGGAAACACCCCTTGGTCCCTCCCTGGCTTTTAACACGTATCCCCAGTGGGCCAGGGGTGTCTTGAAGATCTCTGCCCTCAAGACCCACAGTTACCCATGGGAGTGGTTGTGGTCTCAGCCCTGTTGGCACCAAACAAAACAGTTGAGAGCAGCAGGTATGTAAACACTGGACTGGCCAGATGGAGGCATCTCAGATGTCCTCCAACTTCCTATTCTCATGGGCATGGGCAGCTCCTGAAATTCAGGGGCTGCACGAAAAGAAGCTGCCTCCTCCCTGATGGAAAGGATGCCTGAATCCCTCAGACATATCCACTGCAGCCCATCCTGAAGTTCAGCTCCCACCAGTGTCGAGCACCCCACCTAGAACACTCCTTCTCGCCACCCCTTTTGGAAGCTTGTCAGATGCGTCAGGCAAACCTGAAAATATTGAACCTGTATCCCAACCCCTCCCTGGAGTTGTGGCTTCTGTAGTATCCACCATGGAGGAAATTTCTGGAAGAGAAGGAAAAGAACAAGCAGCCATGGAGAACCAAGAGCCTGGACCTCAGAATCAGAGTCCACCTGGGCTCTCAGACCAGCTCCTCATCAGCTTTCCTCTCCGAGCCATAGAGTGGAGGGGAGGATTCCCACTTGTAGTTCATATATACGGCTTCGGGCCCAGCGCCCAGCGTAAAAAGGGCCTCCACCTTCCCATTTCTCAAGAGAAAGACCAGAGAGACGAAGATCTTGAATACAAGGCTTAATTTGGAACCTAGAGTCATCTTAGAGGAAAGTCTTGATGAATGAAGACTCAGCCTTTATTAAGAATTGACATCAAGAGCCTTAAAAATAAATAAAAATAAATAAAATTTTAAAACCTTGGTTTTGCAAAGTCTGGTTGCTCCAACAGTGTTGACTTGGCAGGCCACTTCAGCCTGAGAGCTCTTAGGAGTGCTTTGGGGGCTTTTCTGCAGCCCACTATGGGGTGTGTCATGTATGCTGGGAGGCTGGGCCCAGGAGCCTCAATGCTGCTGTCTGGTTTTGGAAAGACTCCCAAACTCCTGGCTTCTGAGTCTGGCAGTGGCCCAAGGGTCATGCCAGGTGATCTCTGGGGTTTCCTCCACCTCTAAAGTCCTAGGATTCTGTATCCCATGGTTGGCCATTATGAGAAATATGGGAAGATATTTGGTGGGGCTTCAGAATCCCAAATTCTCAGCCAGCAGCCTCTGGTGGCCACAGCCACCCCATAAGGTCCCCATAGGAGATTGAAGCACAGAGGGTAAAGTGAGGCAGAAAGGAACGCTTTATGCCTTAGAGGGTCTTTGGGCTCCAAACCCCATTGTGGTCTCTTGGTGAACTGGACTAGATCACGGGTGAGCTCATTCCCCTTAACACGGGACAAGCCTAAGCAGCCCTCTTGTCCCTGGGTTCCTCCCAGAGTTATTATTACAATCCCAGTGTCCTTGGCTCACTCCAACTAAACAGGGCACAAAAACAAAAAGGGGCGGTTCAGAGAGACAGTACATCCTGAAAGACAAGCCCTTCTTTCTTACTCAGCAGATTTTGCCCCCTTCCCTCTTCATAACAAAAGTTCCTCCTGGCCCCAAAAGCCCTTGGTCTTATTTCTGACCAGTATTGGTAATTCTGTTTCCTATTTGGATTGAGGTTGAACTCCCCCATGGGTGTCAGAAAGTGTCTCAACGTTATGCTTCTACCCTATTCGTCCCAGGCCACTGGGGCAGTTCCATCAGATACTTGTAGACCAGCATTGTCCTTCCACATTTGATCATAGTCAGGGTGTTGGTGAACTTGGCAAGCTCACGAGTCACACTGGAAAGGACTTGGAGAATCATCTTGTCTGTCCCCAAGCTTCAAGCTAGGCTATAGCCACACCATCTCAGAGTAGACTGGAACAGTCTCTACCATTTGAGGATGGCTTGTCAAATGTCGGTATATAAATGAAAAGCAGTAGGATATATTGGAGGATACGAGGAAGTCATTTGGTTTAAAACTAATTCGGCCTGACTTTGTTTTTCCAAAAGGGTCTAACGTGGCCTGTTGAGCATGCAATATACATCTGCTTTAAATACTTACTATGTCCCAAAGACAAGAATGATGCCCTTCAAGATAGGGCTGTAACTTCCCCCATACTAGCATTTCCTTAAGTATAAGCATCTCTCCCTAAACTAAGGATTAATTACTGACGTGCTGTGCTCACCTTGTGACCACTCACCTTGTGACCACCGACCCTCTGTGTTCACCCATCTGCTGTGCCAGCAAAGCAATCTCATGACTATTGTAAATGGGACATTCCTGTCATATGTGATGTATGCTCTTTATTCCAAGACGGTATATAACCACTTGATACACCGTACTTCTTTGGTGCCCTTCCTTCCTGGGGAAAGGAAGGCCCCAGGCTAGTCCTCTGATCTGGCTCGTAATAAACTCACCCCAATTTTGATTTATAGGTTGATTATGGATTATTTGTGTCAACATCAGCAGTGACATCATTGGGCCACCATATTGATTTTGGACTTCTTGTTGCATGAGCTAATAAAACCCTATGTGTTAAGGTCAAGGGTCATCAAACTCTTTCTATAAAGGCCAGATAGTAAATATTTTAGATTTTCGAACCATACAGTCTCTGTCACAATTACTCATGTCTGCTGACATAGCGCAAAACCAGCCGTAGATAATTCATCAACAAATGAGCAGGGCTGTGTGCCAATAAAACTTTATTTATGGACACTAAAATGATATAATTTTCATGTGTCTTGAAATATTCTTTCTTTGATTTTTTTAAACTATTTAAAAATGTAAAACTCGTTCTTAGCTTGCGGGCCCTGTTTATATATAGGCAGTGGGCTGGATTTGGCCAGGCCATCGTCTGCTGATCCCTGGCTGAAGCTCCTGTTATGTGGATTTTCTGTTACTGACAGCCTAACGCAATCTTACCTGACACAGTGATGGCGATGAACCTTATTGGAAAGTGATTCCTAACCCCTCATGCTTTCTTATGTCTGTTTCAGAGGGTCTTGCTGTTGGAGTTGGATTTGGGGCTGTAGAAAAGACGGCATCTGCCACCTTTGAGAGTGCCAGGTAAGCCAGCACCTGGTGCCCTAGAACATGGCACTGCACCCAGTGGTTCTCTGGAAATGCTTGTTACCTGGATGAGCACCCCCACCCCCTCAGAGCTGAGACTGGTGGATGTGGGGAGGAGGTCAGGTGATGGAGTACCTACCTGAGGTACTCCATCAAAGAAGCAGGTTTACACCAAGTGTTTCAAGTGGACTATCCAATGGGTAACCACTTTGAAAACACAACATGGATATAATCGCATGCTGTTCTCCAAACTCTTTAACTATATAAAGACTAAAGACAAAAACATGTAGCAAAGGCAGCAATTGATGCTCTCAACTGCTCCCTCCTTTCTGAAGCCCTCCCTTGCTCTTCCTTGACACTGGCCTCTATTGGTTTCTCCCTCTTTGTGACTGCTCCTTTGCAGGTTCTTCTTTGGGCTTCTCGTCCTATGGCCCTTTCTGAAATGTGATGTTGCCCAAGGATCTGTCTCTAGGGCACCCTTTCTTCTCACTTAATGCACTCTCCTTGAGGAACCCTCTCCATTCCCAGGACTTTATTTTCCATCTATCTGCTGGTGATGCCCAAGTGGATCTTCCGCCTAGATTTTTCTCCCAAACTTATTCCTCTGGGCCCCACTATCTTCCAGACATCTCCACTTAGATGTTTCACAGGATCCTCCTGCTCAGCATTTCCAGAGTTGAGCTTATTGTCTCCATCCACTATCATGCAGAACCTGCCACTCCTCTGGTGTTCCCCATCACCACCTAGCACCCAGTTGACCAAGCCAAACTCACTGTCATCTTTGACTCCTTGTTTTCCCTCATCTTTGATAGACAATCACCAGGCCTTGTAAAAGCTTCCTATCTTCTGCATCCCTTGGATCAAATAGGGCCTGAATAAGGTTACAGCCTTGGGATCACAAAGGGGGCTTATCCCTTAGGCTCCACATGGTCCACTCGTGCCCACAAAACCACAAATACTACAACCTCCAGGCTGAAGGAGAGCAGGGTGGAGCTTTCCATCCAAGGGCAGCAAACCCAGATGCCTTCAGGGGACTAAAGAGTAACAAAAATGAGTGGAGGCAGTGGGAATGGTGAGGACAGAGGTGAACCTCAGACAGATAGCACATACACTGTCTATAGATACTTGAATCCATAATTATTTTAAAAGCATAATTCAGGTCAAAGACATGGCCCAGGGGCCACTAGTTTCTGACCCCTGCGTCTAGCTCATTCCACTGCCTTCTGACTGGTGCAATCTCAAAATATAATTTTTATGCCTTAAGACAATGGCATCACCTCTTTATAAGGGTCACCCCTGTGTCTGTTGACCCTGGTTGTCAGGAACTAATTTCTCTCATAGCCCCTTTTCCACCCTTCCCTGGTTACTGAACTTGCCTCTTTGGGGCCCATCACCTCCTTCCATCTATTCCCCCAGCTGGCATGGGGCCCCTGCGTGTTAAGCATAGTCACTGCCAGTCACCAAATTCTAATGCTATCTGTTAAGGGACATGTCCGCTCTATGAAGCCCCGAACATGTGTGTAAGCTGGCATGTTCTAGGTCGAAATTTTCCCTGTTCTCAACTTCTTATTCCCACCTGTGAGACTCCCAAGTCACTTCCTCGCCCTATCTCCAGTCATTCGTTAACATGATTCCTATTGTGAAAATCAAATGAGACAGTAGATGGGAGGGGACTTCAGAATGTAAGAAATGTCACCAAAATCAAGGGCTAATTATGATCCATAATGCCTTGCGGGCTGTTCTTCTAGCACTGGGCTGGGCGGGGGAGTTTGGCTCTTCGTCACTTGGCATAGCCATTTTGATCTTGGCTTTGTTTCAGCCGCGAGGAACTTCAGAGTCAGGCAGTATCCAGGGGGCTGGGGAGTCCAGAGGGGCTGACCCCGTGAGCATTCAGAGGCCAGGTCCCCCCACAGCACAGGGAACCGCACACACTGCAGAAGGTCTGTGCCCAGCCTATGACAGCGCTGCCCCAGGCACTGCGCTCACAGGCCAGGCTTTCTATCGTGTGGGGCCACATCTCCCGTGACATCAAGATGTCAACTCCAACGTGCCTCTGTTCTGCACCAGCACTTTCTGCTAATCTTTAGAAACACTTCTGAAGAAAGTAGAGCAAAATCTTTTCCAACCTGGCACCTCCCTACCCTGGACCAGACAGATTGTCTCTGAGTTACATAAACCCTCAACAGGACCCTCGAGCTGGGCTTGGGCTGGGGCAGCAGGCCACAGTATTTTCAGTCTCACAAAGCCTCTGCTAAACAAGCTTCCCTGGGGGGTTTTCATGCCCCCACACTTCATCCAACCCCTGTCACAGCTCTTGGGGCAGAGCTGTTGGGGCTCTGCCGCCATCACTGTGTCCAGAGGATCCTGGGGGCCCCCTGCACTGCAGGCCCCAGACAGGGGGAGCTCTCCCTCCAGCAGACCCTACCCTTCAGCCCGTTTTCCCCACTTAGAAATCCATGTATGGTTTGTGGTTTGGGGTCTTCCTTTCCAAATGCCTGTGGTCTTACTTTGAGTGGTACAGTGCAGAACAGCCCCCAGGCAAGGCTTGTTAGCTCTTCTGCTCTTAGCTCACACTACAGACTGGGGTTTCATGGGAGGATAGGGAGGAGAGGGTGGTGGAGAGGTAGAGAGGAAAAAAAGAGACAGGTTAATGCTGGGTGGAGGGGTGCAAAAACCAAGTCATCAGATAATTAAACATGTCTTTTAAGAGAGAGGTTTTGCTTTTTAAAATTCCAGTTCTGTGTGATTAACAAGTGGCACACCTAAAACATGACATGGACAGGTTGAAAATACAGGAATGAAAAAAAGATACAAGGTGAATGCTGATGCAAAGAAAGCTGGTCTTACAATTTTAGTATCAGACAAAACAGACTTTCGGGCCGAAAGCCACATAAAGAATAAAGGTCAATACTTAATGAAAAGAGAAACCATAGGTTGGTATAACGATCTTGCATTTGTATGCACCTAGCAACGTAAGCCTCAAACTGGTTGAGAAAAATTGTCAGAAGTGCAAGGAAAACCACACACAACTGCAGTCGTGGGGGAGGAACATGATTTCCCTTCTGACACTGATAAAAAGTTAACAAAATGTACGTAATGGATATATATAGAACCCCAACCCAGCAATTAGAAAACTTAATATTCTTTTGAAGCGTATGTGTGCATGTTTCCCAAAATTGATTAGAGTGCTGTGCCATAGAGATAGTCCGAATACCCCAAAATCAAAGCCTTTCAGACCACATTCTCTGACCTCAGTGTGATATAATTGAAAATCAATAACAAAAAAGATAGCTAAGGGCTGGCCCGGTGGCGCAAGCGGTTAAGTGCGTACACTCCGCTTTGGCGGCCCGGGCTTCGCGGGTTCGGATCCCAGGCGCACACCGACACACTGCTTGTCAAGCCATGCTGTGGCGGCGTCCCATATAAGGTAGAGGAGGATGGGCATGGATGCTAGCCCAGGGCCAGTCGTCCTCAGCAAAAAGAGGAGGATTGGCATGGATGTTAGCTCAGGGCTGATCTCCCTCACAAAAAAAAAAAAAAAGATAGCCAAAATAATCTGTTAGTGGGCAGTTAAACCCATGGGCGCCGTAAGATTAGCAGAGCATAAGCTCCGAGGGAGGGATGCAAACCAAATTATCTGAGAAACCAGTAGATGGAGGGGCAAGCTCTTCCCTCATCTCGGGGGTGCTTCATAGAATGGGTGGTATTTCACCAGGAGTGGGAGTCGGGCAGCTTGGATAGGGGAGATGATAGTGATGGCTAATGCTGTGAGCAGGGTCCCAAGGTGTTTTCAGGTCGGTGGATAGATGATGTCACTGAGATGAGTTCACATGCTGCGTTATGGAAGATAAGACTGATGGCTGGAGAAGAAGTGCATTATTCAGCAAGAGGTTGGCAACTATGGTGGGTTCTGCCGCAGGGAAATGACGAAGCCCAAGAGGTGATTTAAATGTTAACCTGGCTCCAGTGGAATAATGTGGGGGGAGAAGGTAGATGGGCCAGTGTGAAGAATTGAGCAATTGAACAGATATGTGTTGTCCAACCACAGCTATGTGTTTTAGCAGCTACAGAGAAGATAAGGGATGCTGTGATGATGGTGGGAATGAAGGGGGTCTGATGGAGGAAGAGGTTGTAAATGCAGAACAAACAGACAGCTTTCGTCAGCTGGTTTTGTTGTTGTGTGGAAGGGAGAGGTCAAGTTCAGACGACGAGACGTATGTAGTCATGTGGTACTGTGGAAGGGGCTAAGAGGGGAGAAAGGATGGGTTTGCATGGATTTGGGAGAAGAAGAGTTGCCTTGCGCATGCCATGTGCACCAAGCTAGCTGAGCCAGGTAGTTTCCTGTTCATTTAGTGTGGGGGTCAGCAAACTACGGCCCATGGGCCAAACCTGGTCCAACCTGTTTCTGTAAATGAAGTTTTATTAGAACACAGCCACACTCGTGTGTTTACATACTGTCTGTAGCTCCTATGTGCTGCCAGCGTTGAGTTTCATAACTGCCACAGAATTCTTAAGGCTGAAAATATTCACTCTCTGGCTTTTTACAGAAAAAGTGTGTAGACCCCAAATTTAGTGGACACCGTCCATAGTTTCAGTCCAGATTCATCATCAAACGCACTGACGCCAACTTTCTTTCTTACGACCTCTTTCTTGTGCCCTGTTGATGATGCATCTGGAAGCAGGAGGTTCTCTTCTCTCTGTGACACCTATGGCATCACAGCCACCCCCGAGAGAAGAGAAAGGTAAGAAGTTAATACTCCAGGGAGGCACTGTCTTCATTTCCCACTTGAGTTTCTCTGACCAGGAAGGTCGACAGGCGGCTCATAGCGTATAATTCGTGTATGGCTGCTGCCATCTAGTGCTCAGATGCTGTTACTTCACCACCTTTATGACACCCTCCCCCTTGCCCACTTCCATCATATCCACCTTTCTTCCTCACCAGGTAGCTTGCGCCGGGGTTTCCGTTCAGAATTCAACGCCCCCTGAATGATAAAGAG